TAAAGAGTATTCTTAAAAAAAAAAAATAAAATGAAAAATAACTCAAAAGTTTCTTGAATAATTTTATTCTAAATTTTGAAGTAAAAAATAAAATAGGTCTAAAAAACAGACAGATCAGACTCTAATAGTTCGTTCTGATGCTGCTCCAGCATAGCAATTTAATGATGAAACTAAAGGCTATAAGTTTATTGAATTTTAGGACTATTAAAAAAATAATGGTGTTGATGGTGTTGATGATGGTGTTGATGGTGTTGTTTATGATGATGATGATGATGATGATGATGATGGATTGTCTCATAAATAAAAAATTTTAATTATCTATTTATATTAATTAATAATTTTATGGATTCTAGGTACATTAAATAGTAGGTAATTGTTGGTGTGGTTTATGATAACGATTGATAAATGGCATTTTTAATTGCCTTGTTATAATATACTTTTTATTAATTAATAATTTTATGAATTCTAAAAGGTTTAATGTATCGTTTTTATAAGATATTTTAGGAAATGAGTGAATCATTCGTGAAATATTTCTAGTTTCTATTTAAACTATATGACGGACGCGTGTATTTCTTAGATTTGAACCATTAATATTTACTCCTTATCTCGAATAAGATATATATAAATGCAAGATCAATCGACGTAAATTTTTGAAAAATTTATATATAACCAGTTCATACATTAAATGCGTACGTAATTTAGGTCGCGGGAAATGTAACTTATTATTTATTTATTCTTTTTTCACAACCTAAAGACCGCTCACCTTTCTTGGGGTATATCACGTATTAAATGAAATGAAATTATGCAGTTATAACTGATGAGAATTTGTTGGATTAATTATTTATGTTTTTTATTATTTTAAATGATTTTATTTGTATAGTCAATGCCGAATGCGTCTCATAGCGTTTTACCGTATGTAACGATCGAAACTCCTGAAATTCGGTGGATCAGATTTTTATGTGGGATTGTTTAAACTTGGAGAGTTGTTGACCCTTTAGAATCAAATTTTCTATGAACGTACGTTTGCTAATTTGACTGCTAGTCATGAATTAATATATATCCTTGATAGAATCCATTAGCAAGAAAAACTTTTTATAGAAAAAAAATATTGTCACAATTCAATCTCTCAATTTAGGGTTATGTTAAGGTCCGTAGGCAATATCACCTGTGACGACAACTATAATTAGAAATTATCATTTTATATATTTATACTTTTATTTATATATTTAATTCAAATATTGGATTTATTCAAAAGAGCCGATAATGTGATCAATATCAACAAGTGGTGCAGATTTAGCAGAAATTTTATGGCGCAGTTGCAGTCTCCCGCTTTTTTTTTTTTTTTTTTTTTTTTTTTTATAATCTTAATTCATAAGTGGACAAATTTTTTAATTTGCCTTGTTTTTCAAGATCGTATTTTTATTTAAGTTCATAATTAATTAGAATATTTAAATTATACTATATGTATTTGAACTTAAGAATTTTTTCATGGTAATTTGAACTCAAATTCATTGACGAACGCAACCATTACATCAAAAAAAATTTATTTTTTCCTTTTTTTTTTATTATGAAATTGAAGCATAAATGATATAAAAAAAAATTTCGAGATTTGTACCAAAACTTTTTTTAATAAGTTGTGGATTCTGACGTGATTACACAAAAATTCTAAAATTTAACAAATTATGCAGATGACGTATTGGCTTCAACATTAGCAAATGATATTATAAATACTAAGCTTTATTCAATCTTAAGGTTCTTAATTGTAGTATTATTAAAAAAAAAAAAAAAAAACCTTCTAAATTGATAAAAACACGTGTTGCGTTCAAGAAATAATTTTGTACATACTTTAACAACGATGCTGCTTGACTTAAAAGGGTCAAAACTTCAATAAATTTTAGATGGAAATGGCCCGAAGAAAAATTGCAACTCGAAAATTACTCGAGGTATAAAATTTGGGTAATCACATGAAATCATGACATGACGATATCTTTTATTAACGTAAAATGGGCTAAAAGAAATGTTTTATAAAATATAATTTTTTATTCATTAACGCGCGAAGACACCATTAATTACATTGACTTGAAAATAAAATGATCGCAATTTTTAAGTCAAAAGGTTCCTAATTACATAACTAAATTTTAATAAAATCTAATGAACGTAAAAGGAAAAAAAAAGAGAGGGACGTAAATTTGATTCAATACAAGTTGTCATCAAAATCCGAAATTCCTAAAGCCAAATCACCATATCTCTTCATTACTGCAAAATGTTGAAATTCATTAACCAAATGATCCAATTTACAATGTTCCAAATTTTTAGCATTAAAATAACCATTAACATGATAAGCGAAATGTTTTATCTTTTTTTCCATAACGAATTCTTTCAAGACACCAAAGGTAGTATCAACATCACAAACATGATTGTTTTTGGCCAATAATGATTTTAAACCAACATGCATGATGTTACACAAAAAGTTGTACAGGTCATTTGGAACGACGTTAAGACATAAATTTAAATATTCTAGGGAATCCGGTAACGTTGGACCTAAACCTTTCAAAAGACTTGAACTAACTTGCAAACCATCTACATTAGTTGGGTGAAGTGTAAGATATTTAAGATGTTGGCTATTATGAGCGATTAATTTATATATTTGAGGAATGTTCTCATGATTGAATTTAGCTAAACAGAGATATTGAATTCTATCACAATAATTTATGATGCTCTCAAGAGCAATTTTTCTATCTGCAATTTCCCACAATTTTAAATCTAAATACTCTAGATAAGGACCGAATTCCTGAATTAACAAACCAATTCCTGAGCATTCATCTTCTACTCTTAAAGATTTAATCTTTAATGGTGTGAACGGTGTGGGAATAACAAATAATTGTTGAAAAACTTGAGCCGTAAGTCCCCTGCAACGCATGAAACTGAGTGATTTAAGCTTCTTTTGACCAAAATGACCCTCGCATGATAATAAATTTGCAAAATCACATTTAAAAAAATGAAGTGAAGTTAAATTTTTGGAAGGGTACAAAGCATTCACATTGTTATATGTGAAAGAAAGTGAAAAGGATAAAAGTTGTTTTTGCGATTGAATTATATTTGTTATATTGTTTGATAATGTCTCATCATAATAATTCGAGCAAAAATTTAAATGTTTAATCGAAGAAAAAAATGATGGTAATGACTCAAGGAAAGGTTGAATGAGTTTAAGTTTCAAATCCAAATGATCGAATTCTAAATTTAAAATCTCAACGTCAGATATAAATCTTGGGTTATGTGAGATGATCTCACAGGTTTCAAACAAGAATTGACCACAAGAATTATCGATTTTTATACGTAAATTATTCAAAGAAGCATTATTAGATACGAATACTTTGAATAGTGAGATGCAAATAAATTCCATTAATTTTTTTAAAGATTCCGGATCTCTGTCAATTACCAAGCTTGTACTTTCAACATATTTTGATTGAAAGGTCATTTTATCTGTTTCATCTTGGTTCGATTTAGCCTTTTTCTTTTTCTTACTGGGCAAGGCGTGGTTCAACCAATTGACCGTGTGCAACTCCACTCGAAATGTATTTAAAGTTTTAATAAAGCTCGGATAATTGAATAAGGGTTTTTTAATTGGTTGAATGATAAAAATTCCGAATTTCCTTAATGACACCTTATCTTCCTCATTGAAGAATAACAGAAATGTATTAAAGAAATTGGGAGGACTGCTTTTTCGACCTATAATACGTTTAACAGAAAAGGGGTTTGCCCAGAGTATAGGTATTGAAATTTGACATAAAAATCGATTAACTAACACGCATGAATAAAGCGATTTAAAATCATTTCGTAATCGTTGCACAATATAACACGAGATATCTGGATAATCACCAGAAAATAATTTCGAAATTTTCATGTTTACGAAAGGGGGAAAGGAAACAAGAAGGGAAAAGCGAAAACGACAAGGCTGATGTATTGTTCTTCCATTTATTTATTTACTTGTTACATCATGTCGTCAGCCACTTGAATAAACTTTTACACAAACTATCTATTCAATTATTCATTTATATCAATATATGTGTGACGAGAAATGAATTTGTCAAAACAAAGATAAAAATTTACCGGCTATTCCAATTCCGGTCAAAGAATTAACAATATCAAATGATCAATGTTACTGTAAAAAAAATATGTACGTGTAACATGATCTTCTAAAATCAAATATTACGATCTTCGGTTGTTTAAAATCGAAGATTCCAATTTCAGTTAAATGAAATTCCACCCTTTTTGTTATCTTTTTTTTGCTTTTTGATGATGTGGCACTACCAGTAACTTTATTAATTTATATAAAAGAAATACAAAGTAAATTAAATAAATCTACAAACCCGTTTGAATCAACCTATCATCATCTTTCACCTCCAATAACCCCATTAAATGCATAATGAAAATTGCTATCTACAAGGAAAGAAAAAGAAAGAGTCAGTGCTTATCTAAAAATCTGAAAACCCATAGCCAAAATTATTTGCCAGGTGTATTCAAAGCTCTCACTAATAAGAGGGAACTGAAGGTTCTTCATATATCAAGTATGAACTGGTATCTCATTTATGCTTGTCTTCTTTAGTGATACTTAATGACCATTCTTTTTCAATCATTAATTTACAACAGTTTTTCCAAACATCTTCAATAAGTTTTTTATAAAATAACAAGAGTATTTGAATAATAGTAAAGAGATAGCAATCCTATTTTTAATAATTTTATAAATTAGATTGATAAGCAAAGAAGGAATAAGTAATTAAATAATATTAATGTAACTATCAGTTTCAGATGAAAGAGTATTAAAAATATCATCTAAAAGATCAAAAAGGCAGGAATATGAGTCATAAGCCTCAAGCTTTCTATTTCATTTAAACATTCTAGCAAATTATTATTTATTAGTTGATTTATATTTTGCAACTATGATAAGTAAAGTCAGGTTGCAGCAAGAATAGTTAAAAGAGAATTAATAATTCATCTACAAAATTTTTAACAATAAATATTCTAAGGTTAGAGAAGGCAAAGGAAGTAATAAGAGAGGAAGAATCTAAGGATAATAGAGATTAAATAGTAAACCAATTTATGATTAAGTTACTTTTAAGAAATCTGAGATAGCAATTTCTATTGAAATCTAGAAAACTACCAAATAATTATATTATTTAAAAAATTCTTAGATAAATATCTTAATAGTTGTATTATTAAAGCAAAAAAGAGGTCAAATAATGAAATACTATTTAATAATAGAATAAGAGAAAATGCATTATAGCTATTCTTAGCCAAATAGTCTGCAATTTTATTAAAATAATTATCAGTATAATCTTTAACTTAGTAAGATAAACATAAAGGTTAAGTGTATCTATAATATATGTAATGAGATTCTAAAAAGTATAATGAAAATTTTCTTAAATTTTTAAGAAGAAAGACAATTATGAAATACATATAGTATTTATTAAAATTATAGATTATTACTTAACTATTTAAGTAAATGTAAATAATAGCTGATTTAAATAAAACAATAAGAGCTTAAAAAGAGTATAAATTTTAGTACTGATTGATAAAAGCAGTTCTCTAATGAAAAATTAAATATGTGAAAATTATTTAAAGTATTAATATAAATTCAACTGAGACTCATTTATATGAATCAGTTTTAATAAATATAAAGAACTATTAATATATATAATTAATAAAGTATTATTAGTAATGGTTGATTGTATAAATTTAAGTGAAAATGAATGTAATGACAATATTATCAATAAATCAATTAGATTGAATAGCATTGAAACTAATAGTTATTAAGTAATCTAAAAAGTATAGTAAATAAAGTAAATAGCTCTAGAAATTTTTATAGAAGAATACTTTAGCTGATATTTTTAAAAGTAAAAAAATACTTTTGAATAATATTATCTTAAAATACTCATTCTTAAAATAATAAAAATATAAATATCAAATTTAATATTTAAAATAAAAAGTGAATATTTAGTATATTTGAATAGTTAATTAATATAATTATCATTTGTAGAATACATAAAATATTGGTAAATAAATAAATTAATAATAAAAAACTTTAGAATTCTAGTATTTACAAAAAAAAAGAGATAAGTAATCATTTAATTTTTTTAATTAATTAAAATAAATAAAAAATTTATCTTTTTTCTTTAGGATTTACTTTAAATCTGATTGATTTGTAAGTCTTAATAAAATAATTTTAATTTAACATTTTTAATTTAACTAAAAATATTTAAATTAACTTAACTTATAGACTAATCTGGAACTTTTAACTGTAAAATCTTTGAATTAGAGATAAATCCTAAATAATGATATTAGGTAAAACTGAAATATTTAGTTATATGATAAAACTGAAACTTAATTAAAAATGCTGAAATGCTAAAACTTATTTCTATAAATTTTTCATAAATATTTCATAGATTTTTCATAGATTTTAACTCACAATTTTTAATAATATTTTATTTACTATAAATTTTAAAAATTTGGAATATTGTATATAAAAATTATTTATTATATTTTATTTACTATATATGAAAAGTTTAAATAGAAAAATTGAGTTCTGAAAATTTTTGTTTTTATTGTCTTTTAGTTTTTAATATTATTAAATTAAATCAAAATACAAAGTTAAGGCAACTTTTTTTACGTAATATGATCTTAATTTTAGTTAAAAAAATTATAGAACTATTTTTCTAACAAAATTCTTAAATAAATAATTCTTAAATTATAATATTAATTAGTAATATTTTTGATTATATATTTAATTAATATAAATAATAAAAGATTTAAATTAAAATTAATAAATATTGAATAATAATATATTCTTTAATAAATAAAAATTTATAATTTATATTTTATATTTTATAAAGCAATTTAGTCATTTAGTCATTTGCTAAAAGTTTAGTTAAAGGTTTAGACTTTAGTCAAGAGTTAGACTTTAATCAAAGATTTAGTCAAACACAAAATTTGCAATCATTCATAAACTCCAGCTAAATCATTATGGAATACTCATAATTTTAGGTTAGAATACTCTTTACTAAAATATTTATCCTATGATTCGATATTCTATCTTATATATGAGATCTTCTAATATCCTAAAAAGGTAAAAAATTTTAGAATATTTATTATATAATATATAAGTAACTAATATTAAGTACACTTACTATGATATCTAATTTTATATAATATTGCTTCTGTTGACTTGAGTAAAAAGAATTTAAGAAACAAGAATTTAAAAAAAAAAGGTTATCACATATTTTATTCTAAATGCTTAGATATACTTTACATTTAAATACATTTTACCTTTAACCTATTTTTGAAATTTAAATCAAAGTTTGATAATAAGATGATATGATAAACTATTAAAAATATATATATATATATTAACTAGTTAATTAACCAGTTAATTAATTGAAATCTTAATTAATTTATATAGTAAAGATCTACAAATAATAAAATATCTTTAAAGATTTTTACTAATATTAATAGAAATAGTGCTGTCCAAAGTTACTTGTAATATATATAATTAAATATTCTAAAGACTTATACTGAAATATCTTCTATACAAAATATTATAAAATAATTTTTTCGCAAAAAGCATCTTAATACAAAAAATAAAAACTCATAAAGAATTAGCTGAGAATTAGAATGATTATAGAGATTTCAGAATCAAGAAGAGAAAAAAGAAGGCTCTTAAAATTCTGGATATTGAAGATTAGTATAAAACTTATTCTCAGAAAGTTAAAATGCTAGCGAACTTAATAAATGCATTATTTTTTATCCCTTTATGCATGAAAAAGATAAGCATTCAAACATAAATACCTGAACTCATTGTTGTAACATGTGTATTTTGCTACAATTAAGGTCTATTAATTCTAGAAAAGAAATCATTTACATATCTTCCTTATGTCTTATATAGTCATACAATTTAGAATTTAATAAGTAATAAAAAATAAGATCTAATAATTGCTAATTATCTTTGTATTTAGAATAATCTACAAATATCAAGGCAGGAACAAGAAGCAGAAAAAGGTAACTAAATATCATGAAATATTTCTTTCCTATCTGAAGAATAGGATAATATAAGTTCGTATTGTTTACAATATAATATTTTCTAGCTTATATTTTATAACTGACCTTAACTTTATAGAATTTTAATCATGAGATTAATCATTACTTTTCAGGAAAATTCCTATGGGTAGCAATCAACTTTTATTTTAAGAAATCAGAAATAGATAATCATATTGACTCAATTTACTAAGATTTTGTATAGTATTTGTTTTTTTCTAAAGAATGAATTTAAACAACTAAATGTTAATAGATATTTTATCAAAATTTAGTCATATGTGTTATGTAGCCCTTTTTTTCCTTTGTTATTATTAGTATTTCAGTTTAAAAGATATATGATATTTCCTGTATTGATTGAACTTTTTTTAAACATAATTGTATACTCTTTTT